GATGTATTTAATGCTATTCTCAAAGGGTCTTTTCATTGGATATAGTACGGCATAACATCGATCGATGGCAATGAAAACACAACTGTACACAGAAACGATGAAGAAAACATATCCTGAAAATGTGCTGAATTTACACAACACATTGCCCAAGTCACCTCTAACTAKCCATTCGCCGTCAAAGTTTATCCAAACCACTTGGCTTGGAAATCCAAAAAGAGCTGCAAAAAGATCACTGACTGCAACATTTGCCACTAGAAAATTGGTTGTGTTTTTCAAGCGATTGTCCTTGTAGACAATCCATACAACAAGCGAGTTTCCGACAATGGAAGAAAAGAATTGAAGAGAGAAAGCAACTGTCCATGATACCTTATTCCCATATGCGAAATCAGTTGAAAAACTTGACTCATTTGATGAATTCACAGTGTTGTGATTAATCATGATGAGTYTTGTCTCTCTCCGTACTGCTTATGAAATGCTCTTTGTGTCCCACGTAAAGAAACACTCATTTAATACAAACAATTACATGCAAAATGTGACAGGATGATGGGAAAATCATAAGCATGACAGGTGTGTTACTTTGGTTAGATTTTGATCAAAAGATTAATATCTTTCTTCTGGTGACTTGTTGTAAGTCCGGAAATCTATTCTTTATTGCAAAACCCTGCAAAATACGTCATGATATAAAAATGTCTCCCTTGACTTCGTCATTACTATGGGAATAGAACAATTGCTCTTGCTCAGTTTTTACTACYGCATGTAGGTTGCCATGATTTGACGGTTTCTAAAGATTCGATTTGGTGTTCACGAGGGTGCTTATGATGGCTAGTCATCCGTCTATTAAGACCTCAAAAATATAGATGTAGAAATCATGAATGAAAAACAGAAAAAAATAAAATAAAAAATAAAAAAATAGATAAAATAAAATTATTATGATTCATGAATTAATAGTCCAGTAAGGGCTGTCTATTCAGGTGATTGATCAGCCACACTGTCAGCACCAGTGAGTCAACCAAGCACAAGGTTCTAAGATCTAATTTTGCATCGTAGACCTTTACTATTACAAATGGCAGCATAACCTTATCCGTAAGATAGGTTGGCTCTCAATGTGTGATAGATAATTCGAAGTGTATTGCACTTCCCCAAGCCCTAAATCAAAACTGTTTTAATAAGTTAACTTTTTTGGCGTTGTCTAAACTTCAGACAGCTTAACAGAATGATAAAACTAAAGGTGAGGCAATTGTTTTTTCATCATGACGTATTTTTTGAAAATCTAAAGAACAATAATTATTTCAAGTAATAGGAGAACAGAAATGGACAAAAGNGGGTATCGTTTTCAGCGATTTTACTCTGGAACTGGGTATCGATTTTAGCGATTTTACTCTGGAACAGGGTATCGATTTCAACGAATTTTCTCTGGAACAGGGTCAGGGTTGAATTCCGGAATTATTGATGCTGGATAAAAATTCATGGGGTAAAAATTCGGTCTACACGCAAGCTAGTGCAGGATTTTACTCTGGAACAGAGTATCGTTTTCATCGATTTTACTCTGGAACAGGGTATAGTTATCAGCGATTTCACTCTGGAACAGGGTCAGGGTTTTGAGGTCCCAGCGGCACACCCCCACCCAAGTTTCGGCGGAGTACCCCCACCGGGTCAGGTGATTGATCAGCCACACTGTCAGCACCAGTGAGTCAACCAAGCACAAGGTTCTAAGATCTAATTTTGCATCTTAGACCTTTACTATTACAAATGGCAGCATAGCCTTATCCGTAAGATAGGTTGGCTCTCAATGTGTGATAGATAATTCGAAGTGTATTGCACTTCCCCAAGCCCTAAATCTAAACTTTTTTAATAAGTTAACTTTTTTGSCGTTGTCTAAACTTCAGACAACTTAACAGAATGATAAAACTAAAGGTGAGGCAATCGTTTTTTCATACGTATTTTTTGAAAATCTAAAGAACAATAATTATTTCAAGTAATAGGAGAACAGAAATGGACAAAAGACCGAAATAGTAAGGTTGYATACACAAGCTTGGCACTTGAGATTTTTCGATTGCCTGACAGAGTGCTCTGAACAACTAAATGTCAGGATTTTTTTCCATTTGATCTCTTGTTCTATACAGCTTAGAATCCCATATCGCATTATAAAGTCGCGTGCTCATTGGTCCGAGATGACGAAATTCGTGAAATTCATTGTGGAATTCGCACAAGAATTTATATCAGGGCCGGCACTTTTCCCGGTTTTAGTGTTATCGAGAGCCTTATCCAATTCAGCTTCAGTAATTGGAGCGTCAAGTGACTCGTCGATAGGGAATTGCTCGATATCCTCAAGAATATTTTCGTCCACTTCCGCAGGCTGATTGAGTAGTTCACTGAAAAGTTCTACCCATCTGTCCTTTATTTCCTCTGATGATGTAAGAAGGGCTCCGTCTTTTGAGCTTACTGGGTAAGAGCTTTTGCTTTTGGGGCCATAGATTTTTTTGACTGTAGCATAGAAATCTTTCTGATTCTTGGCTTGTGAATAACGTTCAGCTTTCTCAGCTTGTTCCTGATACT